TGCATATAGTTATTACAGATTATGAAGTGTGGAGTCTAATTGTTGCCTGGCTTTCTCACCTTTCTTGTGTTCCCGTGTTGTAACATCTGTGCCTATTGTGTCTCATCTGAATTTGTATGTGGATTTTCTTAGAAAGCAGCTCTCTCCTGAGGTCCCAACACCCAGCACTGCTTAGTGAGGAGCTAATAAACTCTTGTAACAACAACACCACAAAATAGATTATGTATATATTTTTCTGTAAGTATAACAAAATAATTTCTTTTTAAAGATTTATTTATCTTATTTACATTTATGAATATGTTGCTCACATGCATGTATGTGCAACCCATATGTGCCTGGTGCATGAAGAGGTCAGAAGAGACAATCAGGTCTCCTGAAACTGGATTAGCCACCATGTTGGGGCTGGGAACTGAACCCAGATCATCTGCAAGAGCAAGTGCTCTTAACCACTGAGCTATTTCTCCAGCCCCCATAAAAGTAAATTGAAGAAAGCTAACAAACCACTCAGAATCATAGAACAGGAAGTGACAAAAATAACCTAAAAGCAAGAAGTTAAAAATTAATAGGATAATAATAATAATAATGTGTCAGACAAATAAAAATAAAGCAAGTTCAAATGAAGAAAAAGAAATAGATAAATAGGAAGAAGTGCAAGGAAGAGAAAGAGAAAGGATCAAGAAATTATAAAGTATCAACATACAAAATGAAAAACTGCATAGATGGAATTTAGTAAGAGTGTTAAGAGGACAAAACATTAAAACATAGTGTTTTTAAAGATTAAATTTAAAAATCCTAAAGATGAAAGTAAGAAGACCAAAGTAGTTCCCTCTCAAACAGTAGGTCCCCTCTCAGGAGGGTAACTGACAACAGCCCTTTGAGATACGGGAGTGATGGGACAGGTTTCCTTACAATACAGCCCTGCTAAGCCTCAAAACTCACTGTCAGTGGAATTTAAACCAAATGCCACTGGTTAAAGACTGGCAAGAACCATGACTTTCCTGTGGTTAGGATGGTGAGTCTTGTCCTCAAGGTTGCCCATGATCACCATGGTTTCATCTGATTCCTTTAGGAAGCTGTGGGCTGTTTTCTGTATCATCATCTTTTTTTTGTTCTTTCTTTACAATTTTCTTTTTACCCTTTTCTTCCCATTTCTCATTCTCAATTCCTCCCTCCTACCTCTCTTCGCTCCCCTTCTCCCTCCCTCTTTTTTAGAATACAAACTTCCTTTTTGTTATCCCAACTCTTCTCATTTGCAGAACTTCATGGAGGAAACTGATAACTTACCAACCTCCTTCAGAAACCCTGGTAAATTTATTAATGTACTCTGGAATTTTAAAATCTTTATATTTGTGTAGGTGAAAGTCTATCGAATTTGTAGGTTTATTAAAATTCAACTTACACATCTGATACCAAAAATAAAGTGAAAATTTGGTCTGCCCTTAGCAATGTTCTGATTGCCACATTAAATAAATACAATCATATGGTTGCTCTTTAGAATCTGAGTTTAATGCCCAGCTGAAGAGGCTTAAAACTAGCCATGCTGGCTACTCCATCACGAGGACTTGCATTGAACAATACGGAGATATTCTCACCACTCCCAGAGTTCTCCAGACCTTTTCAAAAACAAAGAGCCATCAAGACAGAAACAGCCTTTGGGGACACCAGTGCTGACACAGGCCTTGTCCCTCCATTGCCTCTTTAAGCTACATGACAGATAAAATACTGGCTATCTGTCCTATCACACAACATACAGGATGATCTACAGGCCTCCACTGGCTAAAGAGATGACCACAGAGTACCTTTGGGCAGCCCTGTTTCTCAGTGGAGACATGCCTCTGCCTGAGATGTGCCTGTTCATAGTGTGGAACACTCTTAGCCTCACGTGTTCTGGGTAAGTTTGCTGTTTGCTTATGGAGCAGAAAAGTACATACAGTTTGCAGTCAGTAAGTTAGGCACCCTAGACCATAGGGAAGTTTTGTTTGCCTGATTAGTTCTTGAAGAAAATGTTGCATAAATGTGCTGTCCAGAGCTATAGGTTAGCCCATTACGTACCTATATCCAAATTCTTATTTTTTCTGTGAGGCTAAAAAGACAGGAGGGAATGACACATCTTGCCTTGTAAAAAAAATATGTTAAACATTTCTGCCACTATTTGTGACATCCGTTATTTATCCTGATTAAACCCAATGCTTGCCTGGCGGTTCCCTTTCAGGGAAAATGAAAACTTTCTCTCCTATCTATTAATAAAAACTCTTGGATGACTTCCACCGTGATCCTGTTATAAGGCATACCATCCTATCCATCTTTTGAAAAAAAAATTAGAGTGAGTTCTGTATGGATTAGATGGAAGTGAACTGGAAATACACTATGTGCTGCCATTGGGAAGCCAGGCTCTGCTTTAGATTTATGGCTCGGTCTTATTATCTTACATCCAGGAGACATCTGATCCTTATAGATGATATGACTACAACAGTGGCGATGAAACCAATATGAATCGCATGTCTGTGGGAAGGTGGCTATCCCAACTGTTTTACCTGTTTAATACAATTTTTAGAGTTATCATGCACTGTACAGGCATTGATCGATGTGGAAGCATGAAACTGAAAGGACAAGAAATTTGTCAAGAATTTCTGCTAGCAAGGAGTAGAGCTAAGACTTAAGTCTGGTTTGAGGGTTAGAAGGTACCAGTAACCACAAAGTCCCATTGCTGGTCTCCCTATTTTCATGCACAGCAATAGCAGTAGGCACCTAAGGCTAAACAAAAATACATGAGCAGAGTAGAAAAAGTCACTCATAAAATATTCAAAATGATGATGATGTTAGGAACAAAGCCATTCGATGCACTAAGTGCCAGCTGAAGGATGAGATTCTTGGACCTGGGATACAGGAGGGGAGTGAAGAGGTGAGCAGGCTCTCTGAAGTCATGAGGACTAGCACTGGGATACCCATCTTTCCCTGACTCTAAAAAAAGCTGTGACTCAAAGAATAAGACCCATTTATTTTCATTAAGAAACCCTAATTAATTATTTCAAGTTAATTAAGTGGATCTGCTCCAAGTTGAGTTTAGTATATAAATCCACATTCCAAAGTGTTACCATCTGGCCTGAATGTGAAAAAATAAGGGAACTGGGGAACAGAGCGAGAAGTGCTGGAGAAAGAAAATCAGAAACCAGCCTTTAGTCTTAGCCTCCTTGGCCCTGCCGAAAGAGGAGGGCAGAGAGAAAGCTCACTCTAGGAAGACTTTTAGCCACAGGGGCAATTTTTTTCTGTATGTCATTGTCAAAATTGTCTCTTCTATTGCTGAAGCAGCATCCTTTTAGCTTGTTTATAATCACCATGTAACTTCTCCCAGCTCCTTGGATCACCTTCCTACCTTCTGCGCTTGTAGCTTCACGGCGTCTTTGTCTGTTTACCAGTTTCTACTTCTAGGGTATGAGCATAGAAAGTAGACACGTTAAACCTAAAATAGACCTCTTACTACTTCATGGTGTCTTATCACATCAATGGCAACGTAAAAGAGAAAGCATTTACCGTTGTAAAGAGCGAGTCCATGATCAAGATGGCGGAAAGCATGGTGGCAGGCAGGCAGGCGTGGCTCTGAAGCTGTAGCTGGGAACTCTCCCACCTTAGACGACAACCATGAAGTAGAGAGAGCTAACCAGAAATGGTACTGATTGAAGTGACACACTTCCTCCAAGAAGGCCACATCTCCTTATCCTTCCCAAATTGGGGAGCAGCTATTCAAATATATGAGCCTATGGTGACCATTCTCATTCAGACCACCACAGTGACCAAGACTGGGTTAATGGCAACGGACTAAAGTGAGGTCCGACATCTCCTAGTTGTATTGTGTTGTTTTGTGTTCTCTGTATTTCTGTTTCTTCAGGGACTAGGACATTCTTGCTGGGAAAGAGCCAGGCTTTGTGGGTTTGTTTTTCTGTTTTGGCTTTTGTTTTTCCATTTCTATTTCCCTGGGACATAACTGCATGTTTCTGGTACAGGAACTATTGTAAGAAATCATGAAGGGGTGAGTGAGTGACTGAATAAAGAGTAGAAGGGAAAGGGGGTAACAGAGCAAAACAAGAAACCTGGCAACACTCGCCCTTTGACCTTATTCTCCTCTGATAAACTTCCCAGGGAAGCTCCTCAAGAAGATCCAAGGTCATAATTTTTCAAAAGTATTCTTGACATTATAAGCCTGTACCAACCACTCTTCCAACACACACAGACACACACACACACATGCATTCATGCATGCACACACACTTGCATGCACACACACACACACACACACACACACACACACACACACCAAAGCAACAAAACAAACAAAATGAAAATGAAAAACCCTCTAAAGTATCAAGAAAATTGTTGAGAAAGAAGAACACAGTCCATATAGACCTATTTGGTTTGCTTTTTGATGAGTAAGGCAGGAATGCCATGTTTTACTGTTTCTCCCTGTTCAAAGATAATCTAATTTTGCAGTGACAGTTACTGAAGTCAATAACAGGTCGTATAGGGGAGACAAATCATGTCTGCCTTGGATTACGGTGAAACAGAATGCCCTGCCACAGCTGTCAGTGAGGGTTTCCTCGCTTGTAGCTTCATTATGTCCTGAAATGAAATAGCTATATCTCTTCTGGGTTTAATGAGGCCACAGACAACCGAGTCTTTACGGGGTGATATTGGAGAATTTTTGCTTTGAATTTGATATGTCCTAATTTGTGCTTAACTACCCTTCCCAAGCAATTCAGGTTCTCAGATGGGCATTTCAGGGACAATTAGCTAAATGTTCCTCTCATTAGCCACAGCACCTAGGATGAGACAAAGGGAATCAATAAGACAAAGCCAGTTTAGGAAAATGTTCGCTTTCCATCAAAAGGACCAGCTACCTCATCAAGTTGCGGGTTCCTGCAGGAGGTTGCTTCTCCCAGCCCAGATGCCATTAACCCGTCAGTGGCTAAGTTTTGCTACTCAGTCACCTTTCTGTTCTGTTTTAGTTTTCAGGACTTTACCTCCTGTCTTTCTTCACCATCCTCATCGGGCTGGTGCTCTACTCCTCCACCTCCACGTACATAGCCCAGGACCCCCGAGTGTACAAGCAGTTCCGTAACCCTTCAGGACCTGTTGTGGACTTGCCCAGCACGGCTCAGGTGGAGCCTTCAGTCACCTATACCAGCCTGGGCCAGGAGACAGAAGAAGAGCCCCATGTACGTGTGGCCTAGGGTAAGGTCTGCCCTGCCCACCGAGGACAAGACAGAGGCCGCGTGTTTGCTCATCATCTCTGTATTGTACATAGAGAAAGGTATTTAGTAGGTGCAGTTTCACAGGTGGACTGCAAGGTAGCTCATCTTCCTTTTGTAAAAAGGAAACCAGCTGATGACCAATGGGGACACAGTCTTCAATCCACCTGACTCAGAAAGAGGCTTTGATAGTGTGTATCCCGACCCAGCCCCCACCCCTGCATTAATTACTGTGAAATTTTTTGACTCAAGAGCAAGTATTATGGTTACTATGATTTTTATTATTGTTGTTACTGTTATTACACCGACTTTCAGAAGGAGGTTTTGTATTCCTGACGGGAATTCTTGCCAGACCCTCACGTAATCAGCCTACATCCCACTTTTCTATGGCAAGCCACTTTTTAAGAATCATACTTTTGGTTGTGTTTTGCACAGACTATACGAGTGATGCATGCCACAGAATCTCTACCCCCTCCGAAGTTCCCTCATCCTGGTGACTTTGTGACTCATGGTTTCCTCTGTCACCTGTTGCCTGCTCAATAAGGATTTTGTGCCGTGACCCTTGTGGGGAGGGGAAACTGACCATGTAATTCTCTATTCTAGGAATAGATATAAAACAAACATTTTAGCCTTTTTATATTTCATTTTCTGATTACTCTGGGCCATTGGCTTTCTTTTCGGCCAGGAGCTTCATCTACTCAAGCCCTGTGACTACAGGATAAGATTTCCCCCATTTTTGTGACTTACAGGAAACCCTCTAAATAAAACCACTAATGCTTAGGGAATGTATGTTTTAAAATTTCTTCTGGCCTTCCGTGTATCTCTCTCCTCAAACATTGGTTTCTGTTTTAATTTTTTTCTTAATGATGTCATGGAAATTAACCAAAGTACTGGAAAAGCCATGGCCTCTGCCCTCTTTGTTACATAGTACCTTTCTGGGAGCATGTCAACATGGACAGACATCTTTATTGTGGGGCATCACTGTTTATGCCACCTCTTAGAGCAAGGAACAATCTTTGTTTATAGTTCATGTTTTGGTCCTTTACTAGTGGTAAAGATGTTATCATTGAAAAATCTGGCATTTTGGTCACATTTGATACCCCTTTAGCAGAGTATATAGATAAGCATTCATACACACAGATGATGCAACAGCATCCCAATAAAGCTTGATACATCGCTAGTCTAATCAGCTCTGTTGTCTCAAGAATATCTCCCCCAACCCCACCACAGGAAATTGAGAACCACCATCAACCTCTATAATTCAGAATAGATTCCATGTGTCAGTGTGGAAGCACCCTGTAGCTTGGCTGACTCCAATACCACTTAAAAGGATCCTTGATGGAGTTATGGGCTTTTATAAATGTTCATGAAATTTGAGACAATTCAAGTCAACATATTTTAATCAAGCAAGCAAAAAATAATAAAACCCTAGTGGGGGGTTTTATAAAGTTAGAATAGATAGATTACAAAGTAGGGCCTGAACAAGGTCTGAACATCGCAGGCAGAAGCTCCCAAGCTGTCCGCCAGGAGGCCTCTGGCCTCTTTGCCCAACTTCTGTGAAGAGTCATCATGGTCCCCTTTGACAAATCTCATAAGAACAACACATATCCAAACTAATCAATGCACTTGAAAACTGTAACTCAGTTTAAAAAAATGATTTTCATTGAATCATATAACTTTTCTCCTAAAGTATTATTTAGTCCTGACCTTGGAGAAAGGAAGAAAAATTGTTTTCTGATATGTACATTTCATATTAGATTTCCCCATGGAAACAATGTTTTTTTTAAACTGGGATGGGATGGGCATCGGGAGAAAGGCTTGGGCTAAAGTTACATATCCCATCCTGCAACTTTGCCAGCATCTTCTCTCTGCTACCGTTTAAACCAATTAAATACCTTTCTCTGAATATTTTGTCCATTCAGATCTGAAGACCTTTAAAGACTGTGCTTTTATTTTTGTGTTTACATTCCTTTGTTTTGCATAATTTACTTGATTTGTTGCATTTTTAGTATTTATTTTAAGCTAAATGTCTTTGTCTTTTTGATTCATTTTTATGGCACTAATTTGTAGACACTCAGTAAAGTCTTATGAGAAACAAGAGGCTGAAATTGTTTCCAAGTCCATTCAGTGGGCTAGGAACATTTTTAAAGTTTGAAAAGGTTTGCAATTAATTTATGGCTGAAGGTGGCCGTTTGGACCATTTTTTAGGGTGTTTTAATTGACTCCAGTGTACGGAAACCAAGTGTGACTATCAGGATGAACTCACAGTGTCCTTTTTGTCATTGGATGTCCTTGTGATCAGACATTCACGCCACTGGGTTACTTCACCCATGTTGCTTTAAATCCATTTGTAAAGCTGGTAACATTGGCTGTCCAAGATCCGAACTGATTCTTAAGGGAAAAAAGACAAAAAGTTTCAAAGAACCATGTTTTCAGTATGAAAACTTTGGTGGTTTGAGAGCGGGGTGGGAAGTGGGAATAGGGTAACATTAACTGTAGCCGTTTAGTTTCTGGGATTCTGTAACCTCAGTAGACAACCAGGAAGACATTCAACGTCCTAATCCACCACTCTCCTCTCCTCGATGAATGAGAACAGTCCTTTGTAGGATTGTTGATGAGGGGCAAAAAACAGCTCTCTTCAGACTTGCCCGAGATGAGCGGTGGTTTTCACTTCCTCGCTGGAAACTTGACTGGGGACAGAGCTTGCCTTGGTCAGATCTCCCCACAGCTTCAAACACGTATCCAGGTAGACCAAGCAATGGACAACTTTGCACCACTGTGTCCCATCAAAACGTTTCAATGTTTAGTTTAGGTATTGCTAACTTGTGCTATTAACCTTTGGACGAGCTTGTAGTATTGTTTGTTTGGGGTTTATTTTTGATTTGTAACTATCTAGTACTCCCCAGCTAGTTCTCAGTACAGATTTTACCCCATGGGTAGGAGTCTATCTTCACACCACATAATGAAGCACACTAATCCTGACACTACAAGGGAAAATATGAACCAAAATATAGACAAAACGGAAAAAGAACTTTACACCAGGAAGCTGAACAAGCAATCCACATTTTCTATTTGCATGCTCCCCCATGGACTGGCTGTGGCAGTGTAACACCTGTACAATGTTTTCAAATAAAAATAAATGCTTTCTGAAAGCACCATGCTTCTGGCTCTCTCGTGTGTTTGTCTGCACTATGACAACCATGACAGCAGCTCCCTTGAGATGATGGAAATAGCAAGAACAGAGAGAACCCAGCACACGTCAAAATAAAAACCAGAGAGAAAATAGCTCCAAATTAGGTATGCCGTAGTCTCTGAACCGTAGTTTCAAGAAGTCGAATTAGATACATTTGTAATTTGCCTTAGGATGCTAAAAACGACTGTTGAAATACAACTTCCAAGTCCACATGGGAAACTCATTCAGGATAATGGAAAGCTACGCCTGAGAAACGGTTTCTTATGAAGAAGAAAGTTCTGGGTACACTGCCCTGGGCACAGCAGCAGACCTAACCATAAGCATTCTTCCAGACCAGGACAGTCATGAAGCAGAGAATGCCCCGATTCCTGCTCAGAACTTAGAAAGAACCAACACCCACCTCCCCCTAGCTAACTGCTTTCAGCCTTCCAGTCATTAAGAGTCCAGAGCAGACACTATATGCATTTGCCCTATTTGTACACCCTTGGCACTTACGTTCACAACTAGACCTTCAAAAATAGATAAACCAGGATGGCTGTATTTATAAACTGATTTTTCAGCAAAGAGGGACAACCCTACACCAAGTGCTTTATAAAACACTTTACAAAATGAAAACTAGCAACAGGCAGTTAGCACACTTCAAAAATACTTCAAAATACTTTCAAAAATACTTTTCCTTGCAGAGCTTTCTTTGACAACTAGTTCATTTTATTTAGTAAGCTCCTTGATCAACAATGAAATGAAGTTGAACTTCATCCCAGTCCTGTGTCCAAATGACCAGCAGTTTCAAAAGATTGGATCCAAACCACCGTCGACAATTAATGTGTGTGTTATGTTCCATGCCCAATCAGTTGTCATTTTCGTAAGAGAAAGAACCTAATTTCCTACCTACTCAGGTGTTCTTGCAATAGCAAGACAAGGCAGCAGCATTAGAATTCCATAGCCATTCATAAGAGGGAAAACAAAATAAACAAACAAAGTAACACTAAAATTCACAGGCAAGCTGTCACTGATTAGATTGTTTTTATGCCTCACAAGAAAATGAGCTATAAAATGTGATATAAAAGTCTAACACAGATCCAGCTAATCTGCTCAGTGCCCAGCAAAACACCTGGCACATGGACGCCATTTATCCATCTTATTTGACTAGACTCTACCTTCAAAACCATAAATGCGAAGCATAAACATAAGCAATTCTATTACAAAATGTTGCCTTTTTCTCTGATAAATTTCTCATTCCTGGAATTGCAAAGAATCAACACATCCACTCAAGTTCCTGCTTCTAGGAAGTCAAATATTAATATTTAAAGATCTTCAGGCTTTGGGCTGAGGTAGGAAACAACAGGATTCTTTCCTTTCAAATAGGGTTTTATATTTATATCATACCTTCTTAATTGTGCATACCAATCACATGTCTTCCTTCTTCATTTTGTTTTTTATATCCTTCCCTTTTTCTCGTTTCTACAACCAGAGGGTTTGCTAGGGTCCATCTATGAAGGATTTTTTTTTTAAAAAAATCTATTACATTTCTCCTTTCAATTTCTTTAACTTCTGTAGTGGAAAGACAGTTTTTTGGTACTTTTATCAGTGACTTCTCAGTCAGCCCCCATTTCAGCCACATTCAGAGAGTCTGGTTTGATCACATGCTCGTTCAGTCCTAGTCCAGCTGGATTTGGTGAGCTCCCATTAGAACAGACACACTGCCTCAGTTGGTGGACCAACCCCTCGCGGTCCTGACTTCCTTGCTTGTCTTCTCCCTCCTTCTACTCTTCAACTGGACCTTGGGAGCTCTGTCCGTTGCTCTGATGAGGGTCTCTGTTGCAAAAGGAACGGTGAGCTGCATTCCCGCCACCCGGCTAGTTTTACCCGAAATAATTACACAGAAACTGTATTCATTTTAAACACTGCTTGGCCCATTAGTTTCAGCCTCTTATTGGCTAACTCTTACATATTGATCTAACTCATTTCTAATAATCTGTGTAGCACCACAAGGTGGTGGCTTACCAGGAAGGATCTTAACATGCGTCCGTCTTGGAGAGGAGAGCTATAGCTCAATGTGATAGTGGGACAAGGACAATTCAGGCACCCTCTCCTCTGCTGCCCAAGGACCTAACTGGGGACATCTCCGTGGACACCTGGGATCCCCTCTAGAGCCAAGTCTCTTGCCAACCCCAAAATGGCTCCCTTAATGTAGATATTGAAAGGAGAAAAGCAAATGTATAGACACCATCGTGTTCAGCTGCAACCCAATGAGATTCTTTGAGCTGGAACCTCCCAGTTGAACCCTCTTGAAATTCCCGAATGACAGAAGCCATATGCAAGGACCTTCATCTGGCAACAGATGGAGATAGAGACAGAGTCCCACACGGGAGTACTGGACTGAGCTCCCAAGGTCCAGTTGAAGAGCAGAAGGAGGGAGAATATGACCAAGGAAGTCAGGGACCCAAAGGGATGATCCAACCACTGAGGCAGTATGCCTGAACTAATGGGAGCTCACAAAAGCCAGCTGGAATGGGACTAAATGACCGTGGGATCAGACCGAACCCTCTGAATGTGGCTGACAACTGGGGCAAGCTGAGAAGCCAATGATAATGGCACTGGGATTTGTCTCTATGGCATGTACTGGCTTTTTGGGATCCTCGTCTATTTGGATGCTCACCTCCCTAGGCCTAGATGGAGGGGGAAGGGCCTTGGACTTCCCACAGGGCAGGGTACCCTGCCCTCTCTTAGGACTGGAGGGGGAGGGGAGGAGGGTGAGTGGGGGAACAGGAGGGAAGCGGGTAGAGGGGAGGAAGGGGAAATTTTGATTCCTAGTATTAATAAATTTATAATAATAAAAAATATAAAAAAAATCTATTGCAGCTAGAAAGCCCCGCCACGTCCAGGTAGCCTGGACTGAGACTCAAGAAGACCGACACTGAGTGTCACTCCTCAGACGAGTCCCCTCCCAACACGACAGCGTAATGATGAGCAAGGTCAATTACGGTCAGAGGGAGCCGGTCTCATGGAATAGGCTACGATAAATATTAGCACCATCCACCTAATGGGCAAAAGGCTGGTGTGGGCAAGAAAAAAAGTCCGTAAAAGCATGAAAATGAGCTTGTTCGTTGAGTATTAGCAATAGAGCTAGGGCAATCCCACAAGCTAAAGGATCATTTCACAACAGGAAAGATAAAGACTACTTTACGTACTGAAAAGCAACCATCCTGAACTCACTACCTCAAGTTGATGGTGCAAGTTAAAAGTCTCGCCTCCAGATGTATGATCTACAAAAACGTATTAAGTAGGCTGAGCACGTGATTCGTTATATAATCCACTAACCCTTTCAATACAAAGGCAGACGTGGATTGCTGTACATAGATAACGGGGAGATCTGGTCTGTGTCAGTCAATCTGGGAATAGAGTCACACTGTCTTTAAGACAAGCTGGTTCATCCCTACCTCTGCAAGCTGGCAGCACAGCATATAGCCATGCCTTCCTGACACTAGACGGCACTGAGTCAGAAAAGGAGGACAAAGATGCCCACCTGCTCACTGGGGTCAGCTGTTCTGAGTTCTCTTTAGTGCTCCCACTCTTCCGTAGGTCTCCCGTGAGTAAGCACGGCTGCTGGAAGTTCAAGAGATCAATGACCATTTCATTCCTGTGAATAGGGATCCGAAACAATGGGAAAAGATTTTACTGCTTTTATAGAGAGCCCTTACTACTGATTCTGAAAACAAACCCGGTTTTCTATAGTTGGATCCTGGACAGCACCTCTAGCCTGGGCTCCCGTCTAACTATTCAGGTATCTATAGTCTGTGGTGGCATCTCGGTGGCAACATCACCAACATCATCACGACTGTTCTGCTGCTCAAGTGTAAGCTTAAAGAAGGATGCTTTGCTAGCGTTATTCAGAAGCAAATTACAGCAGAGGCTGACACACCCATACACTTCAAGAAGTGTGGAATGATGAATGAGTATGTGTGTAAATGAACGCGTGTTCCATGTGGGAAAAAGATCAATTCCTAGAGATAAAAAAGAAAAAAAGTGGACTCGAACTACCCTTCACTTAACATTTTCCAAACAGCACACACAAATACTAAATCCAGGACTTCAAGCTTCAGACTGAAGCATGGGGTGATAATACCTAGTTTGTGAAAGGGGTGGGCTGTGTTTTCTTGCCCCCCTGGATCATGTCTCTGCAGGCAGAAACTACTCCCATGGCACCTGAAGAGGTTCAATAAATTTTAAGTAACAGTAATAATTGCAGTTTTACAGATGGTTGGCCGCTTGCCAGTTTCCCGGCAAACTAGAAAAGCAATAAAAACATCTACTTGTTCTTCAAGTGACTACTGTTCTAAATGAAATTACTAGAGAGAGAGGAAATGGCCTAATCAGTCCCATAATCAAACCAGTCTCATTATGGGGCTCCCTGTGAGCTTCTGTTTGAATTTTCTAATGTAGTTTTTGGCATTAAATGGGATTTTAAAAGCTAAATAGGTCACACATGCATACAAATGGTTGAGTGGATCACATAACAGCTTTATGTTCCCAAGATTTTGCCTATGAGGCTCCTTTTTAATTAAAAGGGAAAATTGTCAAGGATAGCAGACAACTTAATGTGGGGAATTTAACAGTCGTGGGGGAAGAATGATGACACTTGGATTAATAATCCTAACATCTGCAGCACCATCGGTGCTGGGCCCTCACTGGGACTCCTCCTGGATATCCTCTTGTTGCCCTGTGTCATGGAGATCCTGCACCTTTGGATCTGCAGGTCTTGTCTGGGACCCCTCATACACGCCAGCAATTCCTAGATGAGGTGGATGTTGGGGTGTGCTACCTTGCAGTCCTGGCTCTGGGTCTGGGTGGCAGCTGGGTAGGTCAGCATGCCCGCTTTCCTTCACTGCCACCACCTGGGTGAGCTCTCCAGTACTGCCCTGGCTACTAGGCCACCCAGTGCAGCAGACAGTAGAGAACACAGCCAGTTCTCCTACTGTTACACCCTTGGGCCTGTAAGGTGTTACCCCACCAAGGCCAGTTCTACTGTTTTGCTGCACTTGGTGAGGGGCAGGGCCTGTTCTGTTCTCATGCCCAATGGCTCATAGTAATATACATTTACAAGTAAAGATGTATGCACTAAAGGGTATATTGTAGACTCACTGCCCCACACTACCAGTTCCTCGAGATTTTTGCTTGTTGTTGAGGTTTTTTTTAACCTTTAAATTTTGTTTGGGGGCGGAGGTTGCAAAGGCAGAGGGAAGAAGCAAGGGGGCAGGGGGATGAGTGGGATCAGGATGCAAGATGTGAAACCCACAAAGAATCTATAAAAGGTTTTTAAAAATGAATCCTAATTTCTAAACACCATCTAAATTCACTTCTTATTGTAATCTAAGCACAGACAAAGGATGCAAAAGCCAGAGACCCTAAAGAATGAGCTGAAACTTACAGGGTCTTTCACAGCATGAGCTTTTAACTAGCAGGGGAGCTGGTTAGTCTTCAGGACCCGAATCTGTAGCGCCAGTGGTAACATTCTACAGATAACAGAACCATGCATTCCTCAGGCAGACACCAACATCTACAAGTTGGATGCAGAGCCTCCCAGTAAGTGGGCCGGGGATGCTTCTAAGACTGTAGGATAAGAGATACTGAGGGAGAAGGTAGTAACCAACCAAACCCTGAAGAAAGACAGAGAAAACACATGATACTGTCTTGTCCTGGGCCGACTCTCTCTGGGAGAACCTGCAGAAAGGAAACTCCCTTGGCTGTGCTGATCCAATGCAGAGTGCGAAGGGTCTCAGAACTGTCCTTGGCCAGGAGATTCCCCAGGTTAAGTACACTTCTAAGCTTCAGTTGTGTTTTTATGATGCTTAGGGAGGGGCATTTTTGCCACCGGCTGTGTGTGGAACTCGGAGGACATCACAGTAGACTCGGTTCTCTCCTTCCACCTTTATATGGTCTCTTGGTATTGAACTCTGGGTTTTCTGGCTTCAACGGCAAGCACTTTACTGGCTGAGCCATGTCACCAGTGTCAGCTAATGGAATCTTCAAAATTATTGCGAATTGTGCAGTTGTAGCTAGAGTTAGCATCCTTTAGTCTATGTGCACAGCATTGGTTTGACTATTAGAAAAACTGTATCATTTAATCCTCAAAGCACAAGAAGAGTCTTACAGTGAGAGTCATTGTATTGAAGAGTTAGTGGAAGCATCAGTGAGTTTCATAAAATGGTCAAAGTTACACATGCAGGCAGTGAGGAGGCCAGAACCCAAATCCAATGTGTCCGTCTTCAAAGACATTTAAGTACACAACAGCACAAAATGTCTCACGGAAACTTTAAAAAATTGGTTATGTTAACAAAACCTTTGAGGACATATTTTAGGTTTTGATTTGTTCTGTTGTTGCTTTGAATGTAGGAACAGCACATACTTAACTATGTCCAAGTAGAAAATTAGTCCTATTAAACCAACCAACATAAGAAATCTATGCTAACCATATTTACTGCTCATCACTGATAAAGGAAAGGGGTAACAGGCAAATTTTTCTCTTTGAAGAATTGACAGAAACAGTGGGTCGTCAATCAAGAGACATATCAACTTGCTCTACTGACAGATAGAAAGGTGTTGCCTGGTGCTGTGTCTCCCAGTAATCCTAGGGGCTCCATGCCTGCCTGCAGAGGCTGATCTCCTCTAATACGCCTCTTGTGTTTTATTTCTGTCCGTCTCTCTGCTTAGCCTCGCTGGAGCCTGTGGCACAGATGAACACCCCTCTTTGTTTGAACAACTCTTCTGAAGCTTAGAGAACACCTTTCTCCTGTTGTCCTGCCATGGCACCCCTTTTTATATCCATGGTGGATTCTTCTTTTGCTTCCATGACGAAACGATAGAGCTAATTCATGTCTCAGTCCTCAGTTCATTTCTCCTTTGTGTCCACACCCATTCCTGCTAACTCACACTCCAGCTTCATGGTGGTGCCTCACACTCAGGAGTCGCCAGCATAAATCCCTCTGCCTGTTCAGTGTGTCAGACTTGAACATCTAACAAGCTTCTCATATAAACACATCCAAAACATAGCTCACGGACCCTCTAAACCCTGCCTTTCTTACAGTCCTCCCCATCTCACTTCCTAGCACCATGATAAACCTGGTGACTTGGGCCAAATGCTTGAGATTCGCCCTGGACACGTTCTTTGCCTCGGCCTCCACATTCCCTCCTTCAGAAGATGACTGGTTCTGCTCCTGACTCCCGACCGCAGATGCTTCTGTCTGCTCTCACGCCGCCTTCCCCTCCATCCTTCTGCCTTCTACACACTCTCCACACCCGTCTCTGTCCTTGCCACTCTCTACAGAGTGATTTTTAAAAAACTGTAAATCACACCCTGTCATTTCACTGAACAAAGCCCGCAGTGTCTCTTTTCAGTATTAGAGTAAAATTCAGATGCCTCGCCACGACTCTCGAGCCCCACCAGACCTGGGTCCTGCCTTTCTCAGAAACTACACTTGTCTGCTTTTCTCCTCATTAACTCTCCACTGACACCTGAACTCGTTCCTGCTCAGGGCCCTTGGAGTCATCCACCTGGGGTGCTCGCACAGGTCATGCCATGTACTGAATCCACAGAGGGATGTCCTTCTTTGTCCTTAACATATCAACACTCTACTATTACCCTGTTCTAGTTTGCTTGTGACACTTTCCGACATTTAAATAATCCTTATTTTTGTAAATGGGTGAATAAATCTGCCTTACACGACAGTGTGTCCGCAGGGACTGTGTCCTCCTCATTCTTGGGTCTTCAGCGCTGGGATCTGTAATAGTTCCTGACACGTGCTTGGTCCACAATAAAATGAGTTTAATAGATGGAATTCAAACGTGGGGGACTGGTTAAGGCTTTAGAATAAGACAGTTAAGTATTAAGGCTCAATTCCTACAATTTCTACTTAATTCCTATTATTCATACAATGGATTCCAGGCAGTAGCCGAGTACTTAAGGGAGGTATTGTGGTATAGGAGGGTCTTCTTTCTGTGTGTTGTTTTCATTGGCCAAATAAAGAAACTGCCTTGGCCTTTGGATAGGACAGAATTTAGATAGGTGGAGTAGACTGAACAGAAGGCTGGGAGAAAGAAAGCAGAGTCAGGCAGATGCCATGTCTCTCCTCTAGGAGACGGACGCTGGTTAGACTCATGGGGTAAGCCACAGTCAAGTGGTGATACACATTAATGGAGATGGGTTAAACGAATATGTAAGAGTTAACCAATAAGAGGTTAGAACTAATGGGCCAGGTAATGTTTAAATGAATACAGTTTCCGTATTATTATTTCGGATGTAAACTAGCTGGACGGCTGGGTGCTGGGAACACAGCCTGCCACTCCATTTACAACAGTATTGGGGGCAGGAAATCTTATATAGAGTTTGAAATTCACACCAATACTGTGGTTCTCAACCTTCCTAATGTAGTGACCCTTTAACAAGTTCTTGTGTTGTGGTGACTCCCAACCATGAAGTTATTGAGTTGCCACTTCATAGCTGTAATTTTGCTGCTGTTATGAATATTTCCTGATGTAAATATCTGATCTGCAGGATATCTGATATGCGACTCCTGTGACTTCGATCCCCAAAGGGGTTGTAACCCTCAGGTTAAGGATCACAGAGGAGGAAGACACACAATA